TTGCTACAAGGAATACAAACAGGATTACTATAAGCTTGCGATAAAGGTTGCCATAGGGCTCGCAGGAACATTTTGAGGCCTTCGGAGGGTTGAGGGGCTCAGGGTCGATAGGACTTTGGCTATTGCTGTTTTCTCGACGCTATAGAGGGCGTACCCATAGGCCCCATAGTAGTTCCTTTTGGCGGCTCATATTTAGAATCCTATAAGGTAATCCCAAAAAGGAACTATTCTGGGGCCTATGTGAGTTTGGGTTGTAGGGCTTGGAAACTTCAAGGCTCACCCTGAATCTTCTTTAAATTTGACGCCATACGGTTCCGGGCAATCTGCAGCGAGCCGAAGTAAAGGAATTGGGATTAGGGTTTAGGGTTTAGGGTTTAGCATCGGTCATGTCTGCCTAAGGTGGGGCTTCTTGGGTGCAATGTCGGGGCCGTAATAATTCGAATAGGGTTTGGGGGGCCCATCATACTATCATTACAATATGGAACCCTCCAAAATAGTCTAGGTAATTATTTAGGCCCCTACATTAGATTTCGGGATTTCGTTTCTAAAGTTGTTTTCAGTTTGGCGATTCTGGCCCCTCCGGGGTCGCTCGGCCTCCTCTGTTGCAGCCCATGGGGTTCGACGAGCAAGTCGGTCCAGAGCAGTACGCCCTCACAAGACCCCAAACCCTAGCCCTAATATAGGGGCCTTAATAATTCGAATAGGGTTTTGGGGCCCAGTCTACAATAACTATAATAAGGAACCCACAAAATATTATAGGAAAGCATTAAGGCCCCTATATTAAACTGAAGACATTCATTCCGTTGCTCCCCACTTGTCTTAGCAGGCCTGACTTGGCAGGAAGAAGTACTCGCTGCCATCAGAGGCCACACTGAGTTATAGCGAACCCCAGAAAGTTGGAACATGGGATTAGGAGGATTGGTGCTAGGATCCCCTATACTTTGCCTTAAGGGCGTGAGGATATTGATGTTCTAACTTTCTGGCCTCTACTGTAGGCAGGATTGCCAGGCAACACCTGGAGATCGGCACCTTTGTTAAAGCTGACTGTGCCTCTGACTGCAGTTTGTCTTGAGCGATTAAGCCTTCTGCAGTTCCGTGATCAGGGTTCACAACGTTTACGATCTATATTTGTTCGAAGGGTCTCAGATTAAAGAAGAGGGAAGACAAGTTACAGGGACTTCAGGGTGGCATTAGAGCCAGAAAATTACTTAACGAAAAACTACATAAAATAAAACACAATACATACCGAAGCGGCCCTATAGACCTACTGCGAAATCTCTCTTACATGGGAGTTTCGGAATATGAGAGCCCCTTTATATGGATCCTAAGCAACAGGACCCTTGAAAGGAATCCCTTTAGAGCGCCATTGCTTGAAGAAGCCTTGAGATAACCCTGTAACTTTACATTTTCACCGTTCGGCGCTGTTTTGAGCAATGATAATAATCAAAATTTGTGCACCAATTTAAACACTCTCTTGTACGCAAACCGATCCCCCGGCAGCCTGAAAGCACGAAGTAGATGTTGTCTGCGCGAGAGCCATGCTCGAAGATGAGGCTTCCAGCACCTGCTAGTACGTCTACGGCGTAAGGTTCCTTGCGGTGTATGATATAAGGACCTTACTAGTTAGAATAGGGTTGTGGGGCCCATTAACTATACTTTAAATATAAAAACATTTTCAAAGAGATAGCAGGTCTGCTTAAAGGGCAGGCCC